CTTAGTCTGTTCCCAATTTCTTTCGCCTCAAAATGGAACGTAGCCACTGTCCCATCCAAAGAACAGGCAAAAAGAGAATAACCATCGGGACTCCTGTCCACAAAATTAAAGTCAAAGAAGCTAAAATAGAAAAGCACGTAGCAAAAAATTCAGTGCATTTTGATATTAGGTGGCATACATATCTGGCTACAGGGAAGATGTTTTAAGCATAACATACCATGACAAATCGACGACACTTTGGCTAAAGAAATGCTTAGCCACAAAGAGAGGGCGAGCACTCGCTGTGGTCCATACAGTTATAGTGCGATCCTGACTCCCAATTGCAATGACATTATATGGTTGCGATTCTTTTCCTCCAGTATTCGAGTTCCCATTGGTCCAGGCAACAGGTGCAGTGATCATTTCATGGTTATTAGACAAGTTTCTTCTGAACATCGAGTGATTGAACTTCACAACAATAACAGGTGCATTGTGACCCAGGAAGTCAAAAGTAGCAGACCATTCTCCTCTCTCAAGAACAGGAGCAGAATGCCTTGGCTTCTGGAAGCCATGGGTTGTTGTTATAAAATGACCACAAGGAGACCACCCAAGCCGCCTAAAAAAGGTTGAACCAAGCTGAAAAAAATGAAACGATCAGAACCCATTAAAAAGAAAGTAGAGAACAATAAAGCACGACATTGATATACATACAGATTTTGTCCAGTGGCCATCTGTTCTGTGAGCGAGACTCCAATCGCTTGTTCGCCAAATAATAACAGTCTTATCATCTGATTGACTTGCGATGAATGAGCCAATTGGATCCCAAGCAACGCCTTTTACCAGACTAGAATGCCCCCTAAGAACAGCAGTGCATATTCCGCTGGTCATCTCCCATATATGTACAGTGTTATCCAAACTTCCACTAGCTAACATCGAATCATCAGGAGACCAGTTGAGATCCACCTACTTTAAGCACACAGAAAACAACTCGCAGTTAGACAAGACCTGAAGGCATCTTCAACGTTTCCAAGAAACAAGCTGTCCTAACTAAAACAAAGGATAAACTCATACACCAGACAGGATAAATTGAAAGAAAAATACTAAATATGCTGGTCGAAGAGAATCTTGACAATATCCATTGGGCAAAGTCAAATTCTGCATTAGTGAGGCCAGATGCAAAAGTAATTCCATTACCACATCTGCTGTGTGTCCTCTCAAAGTCATGACAACTTTCCAATTCTCAACATCAGGGGGTTCTCCGCTGCCAAATTCCGTGGTTCCTGAACCAGGCTTTCTCTCATGGATCAAAATTACTTGATCATCAGACCCGGATGCTATGTATCGTCCATGCTTAGCCCACCTGACACAATTCACAGACCCAAAGTGATCACGGAGGGTAGCAAGGAGCCTCTGTGCTACATCATCATGTTCGACATCCTTGCCAACAGATTTCATGTTCCATATCCGGACCTGCATTCAGTGGGAAAGCAAAACAATTGTTAAGATAAACATCGCAACACTTGGGAGGCTTGCAGCAATTTTAGTCCTGTAAAATAGCGAACGAGCTGACGTACATGATAACACAACACAATTTCCCCATGCACGACACTTTCTCAATTATGTGCAACAGCATCATCTCACATTTTGAGGTAAAACAATTCTGACAGAAAACCATAGATAACTACATTCTTTGATCAAGACACCAAAAGGCCTCACCTTTCCAACAAAAGAATAATGATAATGACCAATTTTACTAGTCTCTCGTCATTCTATAAAGGAATTACTGACCACCATGAAAACAAACAATTGAGCACTGCACAATGTTAGAATGCGCCGCGGGGAGGTCGCGACAAATATCTGACTTCCCTTCGACCTTTTATCAATAAGAAGGCTCTGAAACAAGTCGAAACTTTTGACAGGAAAGCTTCCGAGTTGGAATTCAAGCAAATTGTAAGCTGGAAGGTGAGAGATGCCTGAGACTTGAGATATGACTTGGTACAGATACCTTAAATTTTTTATTTTATTTTTTTGCATTCACAAACAGAGTAAATAAGTGGACCAAGACCAGATCGCATTACCTTGTGATCACCACCTCCAGTAGCAAACCTGAGCCCACCAGGCTGAACATCGATTGAGAATATCTGCATTCCCTCATGCCTCACCCACCCCGGCTTCTCCGCAATCATCTCCGCTTCTGATCCTATTCACCTTCCCCTCGCCCCCGCCAATCTTGAGCAGCCACCCCTAAAGCACGCACATTGATGGTCTCTGAAAAAACAGACACGTTTCATTTTTTAGCCTTACTAAGAACCCATTCAGCTCCTCAACCAATACAAAACCACGAACTATCTCACTCTTCCCTCGAACCCGCGAAAACAACCAGAATTACCAATCCCGAGCTGAGAAAACAAACGAAGAAGTCATTCCTGCAAAGGGCAAATTCGAGGTACTCGAACGACGCAGAAAAACCCGGAATTCTACCAACCAGGAAGACCATCCTAAGGAACTTCAGGTCGGGGAATGAATGAAACGTAAAACCCTAGATGGGTCATCTCCAGGATTGAAGAAGAAGCACAAAGACGAAGGCTTTGACTCCCTGGCGACGGTCAAACTACCGGGAGCTGTCGAGGTCGTAGACTCGGACAATATAGACAGGCGACCCAATGAGAAAAAAGAAGCAAGCAGCGCACCAAAACAGTTGGCTTAGGCATTGGACGAGGCCCAAATTGCGAATGGGCACGCACGGGGAGATCGAAAGAGACGCGGGGGATGGAGAAATGGGGGGGCGGGGCGGTTGTGCGTACCTTGTGCTTGCTTGAAGCACTCCTCTTTTTCCGCGCGTGCAGGTGCGACTTTTCGCCGAGACGGTTTGAATTTGAAGGCTCCCTTCCTCTTCCTGGTCAATTACAGTCACCGTGGGCGAGCAAATTTACCCAAGAACGGCGAAATCAGGACGAAGAAGAAGAAGAAGAAGGAGAAGGAGGAGAACGACTGAAGAAGAAGGTGAAGCTCTTACCAGAGGGAAATCAATCTCGCACCGGAACGTATTCGTACATGAATGTGCACCTAGGTTTTCTTCTTTTCATTTCTTAATTTTTTTTTATATTTTTTTATATTTTTCAAATCACCTGGAGTTCTTATTTATGCTTTTTAGCGACGATAGAAAGTGAAGGGAACATTAAAAAAAAAAAAAGGTGAAGGGAACATTTTCCCTTTTTATATTTTTATTCTTTGTCAGTATTAAAGTGAGAGGGAAAAAACACTAAGGTAATAATAATGAGATAAAATGAAAAAGCCAAGGACTAAGGTAAAGTGCTGCGAGGATGCTTTTTACCGGGTCCATCGGATCAAATTCCCCCATTATCATAGAAAAGGCAAGGTTCCAATTCTATGTGAAATTGATTAAAATTAAAATTGATTAGGACCCTGGTTACTCAAGGTATCGGATATGGTCCTATCCAATCTTGAAAGTATGGTTTTGTGGATTATAATTAATTTTTTTCTTTTTATGCTATCGTCCTCGAGATTAATGGTACGAGATCGAGTATGCGAGACTTTATGTGGCGAAAAGGAAAAAGAATTTTGGGGGTAATTGATTGGATGATCAATGGTGGAAATGGTTACAGAAATGAGCGATAAAAAACAATTTCGGCCCATTTCTTTTCCCTCTCGATAAAGAGTGGTGAGGGGCCGAGGATCAAAAGGCACTTTCGAGCGGGTTCAGACAAGGATCTATAGATATAAACCCTCGCCCGATTGAGCGTTGATCAGGCCCGCCTGGCCCGCATAGTTATATTGTATAATCTTTTCATGATGGACGGGCCTAGGCAATGTTTCAGGCATATCTCGAGGTCTGGATCCGGCATATGATTGGCTCTAGCAATCACGTGTTTGTGTACGCCCGTGCATGAAACATTAAAAAGTGCGCGGTTGGCCTTGCTCGAGCTTGAAGCGGGTCAGTGGACCGCCGCCGAGCTCGGGATGAGTTGTCGATGGCTGCCGACGGACCAACGGGCCCCTCCCTCTCCCTCCCGGGCTTTGCATTTTCCGAGTGCCACGTCAGCCAATGGTCCGATGACTCGATCAGAGGTAACGTGAAATCCACTGGTAATATTCTAATTGAAGGGACCGGCGTGGACAAAAAAGTTCGGAATTCAAAGATCTAATCAACGGAAAAAGAGAGTTTAAAGATCTGATCAGAATTTCTTGCAATGATTTGACCTAAGCGATGACTTTTCCATTAAACAAAGCGGCTAATCATTACGACCTTGAAGAATAAAAATAATTGAGACAATTATGGCATGATTCCTAAAACTTGTGTCCCAGGTCCGAAACTTGAGTCTTAAAACTTTCGATTTTATGCATTTAAATCCTAAATCCTATCGATGTCCTCCACAGTTTAATTATATATGAATGATAAATATATGTGTCGTTTTTTCTATCAATTTCTCTTTTATTTTTCGTATAAATAGCGCTAGCGTTATGGCGACGTATTAAAAAGAAAAGCTAAAAAGATAATTAAAAAGACTAAAATTCAAAAGACAAAGAGATCGTCCAAGGATGAGGACTAGAAGGGAGGGCGGCACCGCCCCCACCTTTGCCGCCGGCAAGGGTTGTCGCAATGATGGCTGACCCTCGTCAACCCAATGAGGGCCTATTGCCCTAGCCCATATCTTGGCGAGGGCGAGGGCCTTCACTCAATGGTGGCGATGACACATGTCGCAAGACTTGACCGACCCTCGCCTAATAGTAGCAGGCTAATGTCTTGTCATCACTAACGAGGGCTCTCGCCTAGAGCCAGCAAGAGCCACCGACCCTAATCACGGTAGCTACGAGGATCCCCAACCCTACCGGCGACAAAGGGGGCGGCGACCGCACCCCTTTTCTTTTGCATCATTTTTTGTTAAATCTTGTCGATTTAAATTGTAACGAGTGACGAGATCCATCGGCTTATTATACCTATACGAAAAAAGGATAACAAAAAAAAGGTATTCGGACTTTTCCGTTCTTTAATAACCAACGGAGCTAACGGAAGCATAATAACCTTAAATTACCATCCACCAATGGGAGGTGTATTCAGACATTGGCCGACCTTCTCTTGCATGCGAGACGTGGGAATCACGTTGTGCTCTGTCGGCCTCTGGTGACACTCCAAAGCGATCCCCTCGCCGTTTCGCTCCTCTGTTTACTCAGAAAACGCGAGCCTTTTCAGTCCTCTGGTGACCCTGGTCGTACCCTCTGCCATCCCCTCGAGAGCATGACCGGGAGTTCTTCGTCCATAAGGACGCTGGGAAAATGTCAAAGAACGCGATTCTTGGAAAACCCATCATGGACTTTGCATCGGCGCGCCATAATTGCTCGATCCGATTCCACTGGCGAACCGCCCTGTCCCGAGACTTTAATTTCTCCCGGAGCGCGCCATTTGTTCGACAGAAGTCCCCAACGAGCGCAAACAGGGTACGGTCGCTCGCTTGCTGAGTATTCTCGCTACTGTCTAAACCAAGGTCCCCTCGATCTCTTCGCGAGTGTCCACAGGTGGGGTTTGCCCGTGGATGGATCCGCTCTGTCGTGCGTGATCAATGCCTGCGCGAACTCGTTCGATCAAAACGCTGGCAAACAAGTGCACTGTCAATGTGTAAAGTCAGGTTTTTTGGAGGATGTCAGCGTTGGGTCTTCTCTCGTTGATATGTACATGAAAACTGAAAGTGTCAAGGATGGAAGGAGAGCGTTTGATGAGACGGCGGGCAAAAATGTCGTGTCCTGGACTTCGCTGTTGTCTGGCTATACACGAAATAGTTTGAACGGAGAGGCAGTGGAATTGTTTCGTAGAATGCAAGTAGAAGGGATTAAACCGAATGCATTTACCTATACAGCCGTTCTTGGAGCTTTAGCGGATGATGGAATAGCTGAAAAGGGGATCCAGTTACATGCTATGGTAATTAAGGACGGTTTTGCATCAACTACTTATGCGGGGAATTCTTTGATCAATATGTACTCAAAGGTTGGGATGGTTAGAGATGCTAGAGCTGTTTTCGATATGATGGAAAATAAGGATGCAGTTTCATGGAATAGCATGATATCTGGCTATGTTGCCAATGGACATGATATGGAAGCTCTTGCCATGTTTCATTCAATGAGAAATGCTGAAGTTAGCCTCAGCCAATTGACTTTTGCTAATGTCATCAAGTTATGTGCTAATATTCGAGAGATCGGCTTTGCAAGACAGCTTCATTGCCAGGTAGTGAAGATGGGGCTTGAATTCGACGATAAAGTTAGGAAGGCACTCATTGTTGCCTATAGTAAGTGCTGTGAAATGGATGATGCCTTCAAGAGTTTTTCGTCGGTGTCTAGATTTCAAGATGTGGTCTCATGGACTGCCATCATTACTGGGTACTTGCAAAACGGTCAAGCTGCACAAGCGGTTGATTTATTTTTTCAAATGAGAAGAGAAGGAGAAAAGCCTAACGATTTTACTTATTCCCTGATCCTTGGAGCCCAGCCCCTAATTTCTCCTTATGAAGTGCATGCACAAGTCATTAAAACCAATTATCAGTCGTCGTCTACCGTAGGAACTGCACTTTTAGATGCTTATGTTAAGATAGGGTCCACTGATGCTGCTGCAAACGTTTTTAAATCAGTTCAAGAGAAGGATGTCATTTCATGGTCGGCAATGTTGGCTGGTTATGCACTATCAGGGGACACAGAAAATGCCGTAAAAATTTTCCTTCAGTTGTGCAAAGAAGGGGTCAGACCAAATGAGTTTACATATTCAAGTGTAATTAATGCTTGTGCAGCTCCTTCAGCAGCAGTGGAACAGGGGAAGCAGTTACATGCATGCTCAATCAAATCAGCATATAGTGATGCTTTATGTGTAAGTAGTGCGGTTCTTACTATGTATGCAAAGAGAGGAAATATTGAGAGCGCAAGCAAAGTGTTTCAGAGACAAAGGGATAGGGACTTAGTATCCTGGAATTCCATGATATCTGGATATGCACAGCATGGTCATGCAAAGAAGGCTCTAGAGGTATTCAAGGAAATGCAAAGGCAGAAGATGACAATGGATAGCATCACATTCATTGGTGTGATTTCTGCCTGTACTCATGGCGGTTTTGTGGAGGAAGGCGAAAGATACTATGATATGATGGTCAAAGATCACCAAATCAGTCCGACAATGGAGCACTATTCTTGCATGGTTGACTTGTACAGTCGAGCGGGAATGCTAGAGAAAGCCATGGATACCATAAATGGGATGCCATACCCAGCAAGTGCACCTGTTTGGCGATCTATCTTAGCCGGTTGTCATGTTCAGCGGAATTTGGAGCTTGGGAAACTGGCAGCTGAGAAGCTCATCTCCCTTCAGCCTGATCACTCTTCCTCGTATGTCTTGCTGTCCAATATTTATGCGGCTGCAGGCAAATGGAAAGAGAGAGCTGAAGTAAGGAAAATGATGGATGAAAGGAAGGTAAGAAAGGAAGCTGGATATAGCTGGATTGAGGTGAAGAACAAGACCTACTTTTTCTTGGCCAGTGATGTTTCACATCCAATGCAGGATAGTATTTATGCAAAACTCGAAGAGTTGGGTGTTCGTCTGAGGGATTATGGTTATCGGCCTGATACAAACTACGTTCTTCATGATGTTGAAGAGGAACATAAAGAAGCGATCTTGTCTCAACACAGTGAGAGGCTGGCTCTTGCTTTTGGATTGATTGCTACATCTCCAGAAACTCCCATCCAGATTTCGAAGAATCTTAGAGTGTGTGGGGACTGCCATAACGTCATAAAGTTGGTGTCCATGATTGAAAGGAGAGAGATTATTGTTAGGGATTCAAACCGATTCCATCACTTTAATAGCGGTTCATGCTCTTGTGGCGATTACTGGTAATACTGCAGAGATTCATTGAAAAGTGATATAAGGCCTTCCGTGCTAAGCCAGCGCTCGTTTACTTTTCACGTCTAAACTTAAGGAAGACGCGCGAAGATTGACTGCTCGATGTCTCAATCGAAAAAAGATAACTTGAGTATTCATTTTATGGTTATTCGACTGGAAGGATAAACAAATTGAAGAATCGACAATTACTTGGGCATGTGAGGATTGTTCAGTTCAGTTGGCAGGTCGATCACCTGAAATTCGGACATCCTCCACCCTTCTGTGTATGGTGATTGATGATCTACATGACTGATGATTCCTCTCTGATTATTACTGGTGACTACCTTTTCATGCTCGCTTCCTTCTCGTGTTAGATCACTCTTCTTTTTAACAAGAAAGATCTTCTCCTGGACTGCATAGCTTGTTGACACAAAGAAAGGCCTGCTTCCACATATCCAGCAACTATCAAAGTTAGTACCGAATTTTATCGAATGATAGGTGAAATTCTTGGTCAGACTTCGTCGAAGTCAAGTTCAAGATTGTCAAAACCAATTGCAACTGAGTACAACTGCATACTGGTTGTGTTCAAGTGGAAATCCAAAGAGCGAAGATTGACACCCCAGAACTGAGATTGAGAAGGATCCTGTAAGTGTGGTTGTAAATTTCTGAAGAACCAGTAGAAAGGTGCTCCACCAGACACTTTAAAAAGCATATTCGACAAGGGATACGGTACACGCAGGCTCTGTAATTTTTTGTTTACGCAAACTGCTTCAGAATATGATTTACGCTTAATTTATTATTGCTCCTATTAGTTTACTTTGTACACACTGGTTTGAAATCGTCAAGCACATATTTCGTTCTATTGCTGTAATCTTATTGTTGTTGAGACATGCGGCAGGTTCTACGGTCTACCTAAGAGCAGCAGGAAGAAGCGAGGCATGCAGAGAAAGAGGCTTCTCTTCGAGTGGGCAGCTAGCTTCCAAATGCCTGATAACCAAACCAAAGTCAAAGCTCGCCTTTTTCTCTCAGCTGGAGTAGATATAGTGATATACAAGACAAAGATGAACTTTGCAGCATAGAATTTAAACACATCTTGTGTGTATTTCCGACGATAACCTTTTTGAATAACTTGTTTTTGCAAGTTGATAAGCGCAACTTGAAAAAAGTAAACTCTGCGGTTGTGAATACAGAAAATGGGAACAGCAAATCATCGACCAGATTGCAGAAGCAAAAAATGAAAGGGAATGATATGTGGATTGACGGGTATCAATTACATAAAAATCCAGGTGATCAAGCTCGCTTTCGGTATAAAATCGATCAAAACCCGATCAACCTTCTTCACCAAACTCCCTTGTAAATCTCTCATGAACCTCAAGGTCAGCTTTGCTCACGGTTGGCCTCTGCCTTGCAAGAACCTTATCGAAATCTCTGCTCGAGATCGGTGGTGGAATAATCTGCATCGTTTTGATGAACACAAAAACAACTTAATAGTGAGAATGCATGCAATTACTTATAATGTTTCTGAGAGACAAGCACGTTCACACGATAGGATATATGCCTCTCCAATGACCATAATCTTATGCATATCATTAAACTAAGAAATTTTGGATGGTGTCACCAGTCACCATATTATCAAAGATGACTTAGTCATAACAGATCTGCAGCGCCTATGCGACATATATTAGTAAATACAGAGCATGGAGGATCTCATATCAAGCATCACTTTGATCGCCAAAAATTCTGCATATCGCTCCAAGCATCAGCTAAAATCTCTATTCTCTCATTTTTCAAAGGTATCGCTACTACCTTAGCAGCTTGCCCTTCGGCTGCCAGCTCCTGCATGGAAATTTGAACAGCACCTTCTTGCTTTGGTCCACATGGCATCCACATACCATTTGAAGTCTTTATGAAAAACATGGCATCCTGAGTTTTCCGAACAGGCTCGAAGAGGACATCCTTGACCTGTCATTGTGAAAATAGATGGAATTGGCCAAGAGATAAGTTAATAATTTGAATAAGGTGGGAAAGATTTTATAAGTTGTGCTTACACAAACGGATATATCTGAACCAGAAAATCCCTCTGTCCTCGAAGCCAAGCTCTCAAAATCACTTTCAGCTAAATTGTGAGGAGTATCTCCTAAGTGCACCTATTCACATTACAAAGCCACAGGAGCGACATGAAAAAAGTCTACTTAGTTTGCAGAATACTTTCAAAACAACGTACTTACAGAAGAACTTTAATACCTTAAACATGTGCTGCCGAGCCTTAAGATCTGGTAGGGGAATATATATGCGCTTGTCAAAGCGCCGCCGAATTGCCTGTAGTTTGTCAATAATCATGAGAAACAACCATGTGATGGGGGCCACCCAGTAAAACCACCCAAATATCTTATCATATATCCATTTTACCTGATCAAGAGAATAAGGAGTATTTGTTGCAGCAAGAACAAGGACTTTCTCATCATTGTTTCCAACACCCTGAAAGAAAGATTCACATAATAAAACTGTTTGAAGTCTCAGACTGGCAGAGAATCTAATTCATTCTGTAACCGGTTCTGGAAATTTTTCCTCATTATCAGGATCAGAAAAACAACTTTTCAGATCATCAACAACTGCCACATCATGTAACCATTCAGTTCACCAATGTTCAATAATACAAGCAACAGATAAGGCAATATGAAGATCTTCAAACGAATAGGTGCATCCATACTATATAAAAGAGAGAAACCAAGTGGCAACAGACATCTCTGCTAACCTGCATTTGGACAAGAATTTCTGTTTTGATACGTCTAGAAGCTTCACTCTCATTTCCTTCTCCACGTTGGCCACCTAGAGAGTCTATTTCATCGATGAAGATAATTGAAGGAGCACTCTCACGAGCCATCTGAAAAAGATTGGAAACTAACTTCTCACTTTCACCCATCCACTTTGATACCAGATCTGAAGAAGAAACACTAGCCACCAAAAAGTCAGGTCATAAATGACACAATCTTGGCATAAGACTCATAAAAATCACCTAAACTACAGAATTTCCATCAGTGACGTAGAGATTAGATACTCAAAGCGTACACAGATGCACCCACAATCACCAGACATATATTGATCTTATTTAAATGCAAATATGCACTGAAAAAAGTGGGCTTAGTATGAAAAAGCTTGCCGTAGTATAATTTGCCATGGTGGTTAGAGAAGCTACAAGTGCAGCTCAAACAGATTCCTAATTGCAAAGAAGCACATTTCACAATCTCTTTTCAAATTAGCAGAATAAAATGATATCATCTGCGCTTGCAACTAAAATAAAGATGTTTTTAAGGATGCAGAGTTAATGGAGGAGGTCCAAGGGATTCACAAGGGATAATGAAATATCCAACATGCAAAGTGATGAGAATAGATTTGACTCTGCTAAAGTTAACTATACCAACCACTAAAAAAAGGAAAACAATCTGAATTATTCTCAAAGTAAGGAGGATTAATAGGATTTCAAAAGTGAAGGAAAATCCATCAAAACTATCCTTCCTAAACAAATAGACAAGACATAGGGAAAAAAGACTGATGGAGGTTTCTATCAATTTCTCTTGCAAATCCCGAATGCAATGATATAGCATATGCCCATTCATGTTGCAATAAGTGTTGCAAGTTCCAACATTAATTTATCACTTGACCTGACTGCATTAGGGAAATATAAGCCTTTCTGACGGAACTAATTACTTGCAACTTAATATGGCAAAAGAAAATTTGCAGAAAAAATGATAAACTTGAAATCTGCACTATGTCACGCTGCATAACAATGTACTTCTACAAGAGCATAAACATCACATGCCCCTCTCTAATACATACCCCAGTATCAACAGCTCCAGTAAAAGGAAAGATAGACCCGCACTTTTACCTGCCAAAACCTTGTATCATTCCGTACTTACCATGGTGTTGTCCAATCAAACATCATACAGATATAAATGTATGCCTAATATATTCGCGTAAGTCCCACTTTGTAAAACAAGCATAGAATCTCAAATGTCAATATCTGGAGGATAGTATGCAAAACTAAGATGTACCTTAACTAAATTTTGATTTCAACCAAAAATCTCCCAAAAGCATAGTAAATGGTCCCTTTTGGAAAGGTAAAATAGTCAAAATGCCTGATGATGGCTACCTGAAAAAAGTAGAGTCTGCTTCTGTTGCCACAGCTTTTGCCAAATATGACTTCCCTGTTCCTGGTGGACCATACAAAAGAAATGCCCTCCACGGCCGCCTCTTCCCTGAAATGACAGTCGAAGAATACAATAACTATTACCACCAGTAACGCTTAAATACCCCACTCAATGATTTGTGACATGAAATAATACAATGTCAAGAAGATAATGCACTTCACAAACATCTTCGGAGAGAGGATCTAGTTGGGTAAAAATTCTAAAACTGTGGTAGTAATACGAACGAAAAGATTCTCATCAAAAGAAAAGACTGATTATATTACAGCATATCAGAAGAGCAAGCAAACTAAATATGAGGCTGGCAATGTTTCTTCAGATAAATGAAACTGGTAAATTGTACTTATCTAAAGAATAGGCAAATACCTTCCTTCAGTTGAAGTACTGAACTACAAACAAATTCTGTGCCTTAATCACCGCTAAAAACAAATTTATGCTATCTAGTCCCGCTAAGATCTACTTAAAGCCATTAAGAGACCAACTCAATGACTGCTGAAGTCCAGCAATGAAGCAAACGACACTTTCTCACTCTTTGTCTCTTTTTACTTCTGGAATAGAAAGCAAGACTGCTCCCATAGAGTTTGTGCAGTGACTCACGAGGCGGCTATTATAACAAGAGGGCTCCATGCTTAGACATTTCCGACAACTGATAGTTAACATCGTCAGCCTTCACGAAGCAGCATGATGCAACTTGCTTCCCCAACAAGAGTCTGCAAAAGCCCTCGTAAGCAAAGACGGGAATACCATTTGCTTCTGTGGTTTGTATCTTTTACAACCAGAGCCGATGCTGCTGAAGACAGGAACATTAAAAAGCAATGCACGGCAGCCAGAACAAGGGTGCACTTCTCGACTGAATGTCAAGGATAGGGACAGCCATTTTGAACATACTTAGCCGACGCCTCGGCCGCTCGGTTTGATTTTCATAAAACAGCAATGTGCAAACCCTGATTCATATTGCAACGATACCATTTATTGCAATATACACCAGGAAAGTAAAAATGATTCATATTGCAACGATACCATTTATTGCAATATACACCAGGAAAGTAAAAAAGCCATTTCAAAGATACCAACTTCATTCTAAGATGGAGAAGTGATAACTTCCCAAAGGCGGTCAGGTACTAAATTCTGAAGCATGATACCTCTAGAGCAATACTTCAGCAATAAGATCATCAATCGACGAAACGAAGAAAAACGCGTGCTTAGCATTACAATCTGTGGGCAAAATATCATTGCAGAACAAGGAAAAATCCAAGATCAAAACGAATTCCAACTTACCGGTGAAGAACTGAGGGAATTTGACCGGCAATATGACAGCTTCCTGAAGCGCCTGCTTGGCGCTCTCGAGCCCCGCGACGTCGCCCCACTTCACATTCGGCTTCTCCCTCACGATCGCGGAGTTCAAGCCGGCCCGGAGCTTCTCCTTCTCCGCATCGTCCCCGCCCTCGCCGCCATCCTTGGGCGTCTGCTTCGCCGCCGCGTTGGGCCGGGAGGAGGCCGCCGCGGCGTCGCCGGGGGGGCCGCCGCCGCCGCCGTCGAGGACGGCGCGGATCTCCTCGGCGCGGCGGAGGTACTCGGTGAACTTCTGGGTGATGGCCTCGCGGATCTTGGGGTTCTTCTCGTATTTCAGGTGGGTCTTGAAGTACTCCAGCGCGTTCATGTAGAGCGCGAACGCCTGGGGGTAGTTCCCGGCATTGTCCTCCTGGACCGCCTGCTTCGCGTACTCGATCGCCTGCTCCTTGAAGTTGCTGTACATGGCTCGATCGCGGAGGGGGCTCTCCTTTCCTACGGGCCGCGGATGGAGGAGAGATTCCGAGATCGCCGGAGCGGCAGAGAGCGGCGGCGACGGCGGCGGCGGCGACGGATTGACCGGACAGAAGTTGCAGGGAATCGGGGTCGGAGTGGAATTCGGAGCTCCGATTGCTTGGCCCGTTCGTGAATCGGTTGCTTCGGGGAATTGGCGACGGAACAGTATTTCTTCTCGTGCACGATGAAAGTCTTTGTATTTTTATTTTTTTCTTTTTTTTTATTTTTGCGCCTCTTTCCTATTTTATTTTTCCGCGATTCATTTTTACCGACGAAAGAGGTCACTGGTGGCGGCTTAATCGCCATTAAACTAATAATCTGACCATTATGGAACATTCATTTGATATAAAATACCAAAGGCTTTTTTTTATATTAGGATGAATAATTAATGTGGGAAATTGTATCTTGAATTGTACAATTTTTTTTAGAAGATTTTAAAATACTATTTCAATTTCGAATTTCGGATAGATTCTCGTGACTAGGAGCGGGCAAATCACTTTTCACCCTCTGGCCAAAAAGGAAAAAAGATTGCTTTTTGCCTACTAAGCTTTAGGAGTTTTGGCAAATTTGCCCTCGATGGCTCATTTTTTTTGTAATTTGCCCCCCGTATTTTGAGATTGTTTGTAATGTGTCCCCATGACGTTGACTTTGAGCAAATATCGCTTGAGAATTGCTTTCCGAGTCAATACTTATGTGTTATCAAGGTTAAAGGTATTTCGAGTTTAAAAAAAAAAAGAGTCAAACGATTATGCACTGCAAGATTAGATCTATTAAAGCTCGGTGGGAGCATCAAGTTGAATTCTAGTCGAAAGACGGTCATAACAAACAAGCCTAGTTGTTCACGTTAGGGCAGTTACTGGGAGAACCAACTCCCATTCGATTCATTTTCTAGGCCGTCGTTGCTTATTTCAATTCCTGCATCAAATCAGTTTGGAGTTGAATTTTTAAGTATTATTTTTTTAATTTGAATCCATCAAGATCTGAACCTCTTCTTTAATATTTAATATGCAGAAATAACCGCATAGTCACGTAAGTGAAAATGTGTGTGCTTCTAGTCAGATGGTGCTTAATGATTTTTTACCCAAAATTAAGAAAAAAGAAAAGGTCAGGTCTGTATTGGAATGGGAAGAAGCCCAGCACCGATCGGTTTGATTCTTGACTCCGATTTGTCGGTACCAAGGACCATAACATTGATTCCCAATTCTAGGTTCGGAAACAGGCCAGTGTTCATTTTTCACATCAGATCCCTATTAACAGCCATACCATTTTATGATTCGTCGAAAACGATGATTTGCCGTCGTAACCCAATCACAATCAAGTCCATTTGTCTCGACTTTCATCCAAAGTATCCGAACACGCACAAACCCAAAAAGGTTTTACTTTCGGTGGTCACATTTACTGCCACTTTATTCCGATGGTCGCCGTGTTTTCAAGATACAACCTTCGAAAATAGATCAAAACGACCCTCTTTTGATTTTTTTTTTGGGGAAAAACAATTATTCAAAATCCCTCGAGAAAATTTCGGTATCGTTGCGCGATAAGCCCCATTAAACTTTGAAAAGTCGTAATCTCCTCACGAACTTTGACACCGCCTGCACGAGAGCCCACGGACTTCGTGAAGTCGGTATTGTACGACCGCCAATTTCTTCCCATCCGCAAAAGCCGTCAATGGGTATACCGTATACGAAAAAATGGATTAAAATTTTTTTTTTTTAGGGGGGAGGAGAAAAATTCGTCAATTCCCGAAATCCACGTGTCCTTCTGATACGACGACCCCGGTTTTGGGTGGTCGTACACGTACCCCTGCGTTTCGATTCGTCGGGGGAGGGGGGGGGGGCAATTGGCGTCGGCTTCGAGAAGACGCCGGCGCGCCCGCCGCCCCGCCCGAAAGCGACGCCGTACGGGCGAGGCCAAGGGGACGACATCATTGCTTAACGCGGAGATAAGTGAAGGGAGGAAGACAAGACACGGAGATCGCACATTCTTTATTTGTTCGGTAGGAAAAGAAAAGAAGAAAAAGAAACGAAACCAGAGAAAGAAAAAAGAAAAAAAAAGGAGGAAATTCAAAGATAAGAGAGAGAGAGAGAGAGAGAGAGAGGGATAGAGAGAGAAGGCGTCTGGAATCTGCAGCGCGAGGCGAGGGACCAGGTATCCCGAAAACCGCCTTTGTGTGGAGGAGGTGCCTTGCTTCGCTTTTTTAGCCCACCACCTCCACCACCACCACCACCACCTCCACCTCCACCTCCACCATCACCGCTCCCCAAAGATTCCGTCTTTGCGTCTCCCTCTCCCTCGCCGGACGGCAACCCCCCCTCTCCGATCTCCTCCTCTGCTCCGGCCCCTCGAATTCCATACCTCCCCCGCCGATCAACACCGAGAGGTAAGCGCGCCGATGCCGGCGATTTCCGTTTTGGGTGTGTTTGAGGCAAAAGGAGCCTTTAGGATGAATCGGTAGATCTGGATCTGTTTGCCCGTGGTTTTGGTTTTGGTTTTTGGATTTTGGTTTTTGTTGGTTGTTGGTGGTGGGTTGCGATCGGTGTTCTGAAAACCGGGGTCTCGGTTCCGGGTTGTGTGGTTTTGTGGTGCTTGGCAGGTTCGGGAGAGAAAGAATCATGGCGGAAGAGCACCGGTGCCAGGCCCCGCGCCTCTGCGCGAACAACTGCGGCTTCTTCGGGAGCCCCGCCACGCAGGATCTCTGCTCCAAGTGCTACCGCGACCTGCAGCTCAAGGAGCAGCAGTCCTCCAGCGCCAAGCTCGCTTTCAACCAGACCCTGACCTCCTCCTCCTCCTCCTCCTCGATCCTCGAGCCGTCCGCCGAATCGTCCTCGTCGGCCCCGCCCCGGGCCGCCGCCGCCGCCGACCGCAAGGTCGCCGCCGCGGCCCTCGAGGCGAAGGCGGAGGAGGACGAGGAGGCGGCGGCGGGTGCGGGGGCGCCGATGATGCCGCCGGTGGCGTCGAACCGGTGCTCGACGTGCAGGAGGCGCGTGGGGCTGACGGGGTTCAAGTGCAGGTGCGGGATGAACTTCTGCGGGTCGCACCGGTACCCGGAGCAGCACGACTGCGGGTTCGACTACAAGGGCCTGGGGAGGGAGCAGATCTCCAAGGCCAACCCGCTCGTCAAGGCGGAGAAGCTGGATAAGATCTGATGATGATGCGAAACCCCCTCCCTCCTTTTACCCATTATTGTCCCAGTACGAAAAACAAAAAAACAAAAAAAAAAATGCTCGAATTGCATCTGTGTTGATTTGGAAATTTGGGAATCCGGTGGCCACGGCGGCCCGGCGGTGGAGCCGCCGTCGGCCGGCGGCGGGCTGCCGGTGGGTGGGCGGGCGGGCTGGTCGAGACGTGTTGGTACGATTGGTGGTGCATGTAAATTCGATGATGCTCTAGTAAATTGACGTCATTTGCTCTTTCGATCGAACGTTGTCTTTTTACCGAATCGTCCGTTCCGACAAATTATTAGCGGTAGGTGCGGATAATACAAAGAATCATCTGTCCGGATATTAAAAAAGTCCTTAAATCGACCAAACGACGAGCAAATTGTTCTTTTTAATAAGAACGAACGGTGCTGAAAATTCCCGATGATTCGCTCCATTAGTTTTCTCCAAAATGCGGTCTTTTTGCGTGAAATTATTCGTTCGGACGATATGGGAATGGTAGGTGCGGGAAAATATAATGAAATCCTAAGGACGAGGGCGGGGATAAGTATGAATTAGCAGACTAATCTCGTGCTTGCGACGCGAGTAGCCTTGATCTCTTGCCGGAAGCTTCCGCGTTAAGTAATTTAATTGGACACCTCTACATTAAGTAATTCGATGGGACGGAGATGGGAAGATAAGAGAATTCGGTGATTGCTCGCCGAAAGCTTCTGCATTGAGTAATTTAATTGGAGGGGGATGGGAAGACAAAAGAGTTTGGTACATTAATAGATGACATGTGGTATATACACGATTGAATATAGATCGTTGCTATCTGTATTAATTTGTGATGAAAATGGTTTTTGTTTATGTATTATTGCTTGTGGAGCTAGGTGTAGAAAAAATTATTTAGTATTATGCATGGACAATTTTGTTTTCTTGGGGGGGTGTGGGGGACGATCGTTTTCCGGTTTAGGCTTAGCAAGTAAAATTGAGGACCGATGGCCCAAAAAGTATAATAGAGGAGGAAATGCTATGGATAGCTTTCTTAGTCGACAAGACAAAGCATTACCGATATTGATCATATGGCCTATAGCCCGTGCATCATATTACTAATAGGTTTGGTGGTCAGGATAACTTTTGTCCCACTCGATATTTCGACATTTTGGCGACATAATGTCCGAATATGTCCAGATAATGTCCATATAAGATAATCTCGCCGATGGGATCAAACCTAATCTGGATATATCCGAATGCCGAACAATCAAGATTAGTGTCGCCTCGCCTCCTCCGATGATAGCATCACCGGCTATTGCAAAAGAACCACCATCGCAACAGCCGATCACCTCTGACTCCTACTATCGTGCAAGGACCACCACCTCATGGCTCTTCGGGGTCGTATTCCCCGACCGGAGCTTCCCAATTGACATCTCCACCTTCGCCAAGCCAGAACCTACCACTGGGTCCTCGACACGAACCCCTTTCGTCGATGAGATCCCCCCACCAATTCACTTGCAAGCCCCACCATATTAGAGAATTTCTTCAACATTTTGAGCACAAGTGGGCTTGGCAATGCTTCTTCGGCCTCGTACTGAACCTAACCCTTCCAAGACCCGACGACCATCGGGCCCTATCCATTTTTTCTTGCTCAGCTTGAGTCGGCCTGCTAGTCAAGTCAGCTTTGGAATTTTCCGTGAGATTAAGCGGGATAACCAGTTAAAAATAATATATCTTTGCAGATAAAATGCATTGGCGTTGGCTATTACATGTTAATTCGCGCGATGTAGTTCAAAAGAAAGAAAGAAGACAAGGGAACTGGAATTTGTAAAATCTTGGGACACTGCAAACAATGGCTTCAATTCACATATCTGAGCTCAACCGTGCATTCCTCATTCTTAATGTCTAATCTTAATCCCTGAAGAACAATTCGTCGGTTTTTATTAAATGAATAAGTTCTGTGGCAACTTCGGACAAGAAATATCACGGGTACATAAGGAAACTGATAGATTTGTTATAACAAAATTTAATCAACGTTAAGGTACACAAGATAGAGTTATAACATCGAAATTAAATTGACGACGAAGCACCCTGAAACTACAGTAAATATATACGCCGAAATTTAATCGACGATGAGGTATATGGAAACTACCACTAAAATATATGCCGGAATTTAATCGACAACAAAATATCTGGAAACTACGACTATACAGGAATTGAAAGATAACATGATTTGTTTGTTTGTTGCGTTCTACAGTACACAAACACTAGTATTTATAGTCTTCACAACATAACTGCCTATAAGCAGTTCTTCAGCAACTTTAACCATGCCTTCACATCTCCAGAGATTTCAGTTCCATATCTTCACATCGCCATGACTTTTCATTTCCAGGTAATTACTAAATTTGGATGAATAACTTTTTTATTTATACATCAATGTTGATGACTATAACTCCACCCTAGATAACTGATGTTGTCGTAACTGCCTTGGTTGTCAACGCTCTTCAAGTTGTCGACATTTATCCAGAAGAGCTTAAATATCCGAAAATATCGCTACTCATCAAGTTGTCGATTGTTCTTTTCATCAATGACTTATGCTATTCACTAAACTTTGCTCTTATCTACTAAATCTATCACTTGTCCATAGTAACAAAAGTTTGTCATGTTTTGTGTGTAAACAAATGCCCCATTTTAAAAGATTTGAATGATTCATCGATCGTTCGATTTTTTTAAATTAGATAATCAAGAGTTATCATGTGTTTCCTTGTTATTGACAAATTTAATTTTTGTTTGCCAAATTTTATCTTGGTCAAATTCATCATATAGCTAATATTTTTTCACGAAAGACATTCTATATAAAGTTTTCATGCGACCCTCTATCTTTGTCCTTAATGACGTGGCCAAAACATGAAGTATAATGTTTTTTTTGGTAAAAAAAAAATAATGTTAAAACAATGTCGTTTTGGTCTAAGTTTGACTTTTTATCTAAATTTTATATAAATTATTAGATTAAAAATTTAGCTAAATTTAAAATTTTAAAAGAAGGTGAGGGCTTGCAGCCCTCGCCTGGCTTTTCCCTTTTTTTGTTATTTTTTTTTAAAGTTAACTTATTTTTAATATAATTTAAATAAAATTCCTGTTAAATAATTAAATTTGGACCAAAACGACGTCGTTTGGCCACTTCATCGCCACGTAAAATAGTGAAAATAATTAAAAATACCACGTCAACTTTTTCTATTAGTCAAGTTGAACGGAGTTAATAGAAGAACTTGATTGCACTAATTTAACAAGTTTTAAAACTTAATTGCACTTTTGATAAGTTTTAGTATTCAATTGCACTTTCGTGACAAGTTTTAGGACTTCCACTTAGGGGTGAGCAGTTCCCGATTCCACTTGGAACCCGGAACCTACCTGTCAGAACTGGTTCCTCATTTTTCGAAACCTGAAACCTACCCTGCATACCTTGAAACCTATCATAGATTCCAAGGTCGATTTCAGGATCTTCTTGGGAATAGACTAATTTCCTTTTTGTTTTGTTTCATTTTTAGTCAAGAAAAAAGACCCAAAAGAATGACAACAGAAAAGCTAGAGCCCAAATAATACAAAAAAACAAAGCTACAATTATACTTCCACCATAATCAGTAAGGACCAGAACAACACCAACATTAGAAAATGGCTGCTATGAGCCCACTCTCGTGCTTGGTCCTGTAATATGTCGGCCATATTTGTGATGCAAGGTCACTAGTTTTTCTCACTTATAAATGAGAGGAGTCCGTAAAGTATCGGGAAAATTGTCAAATCAGTCCTAAACCTATTGTACGGCGGCCAATTCAGTCCTAAACATTTTAATTTTGCCAATTCGGTCCTAAACCTTTCTAATTCTTGCCAATTCGGTCCTTCCGGCCAATTTTGGCCTGGCCGACGTGGCGCGGCCGGCCCGCTGGCCGTCCGACCATGCCGACGTGGCAATTTTTTATTATTTTTTTAAAAAATTTTAATCTTTTTTTAATCTTTTTTTCTGTTTTTTTTTTCTTTTTTCTTCCTCTGGCCGATCCGGCAACCGGCGACCGGCGGTCGGCTAGAGGGGAGGGCCGGCGAGGTCGACCTCGCCGGCCTCGCCGCTGCTGAGGCGAGGTCGGCCTCGCCGCCGCCGGGCCTCGCCTCGCCGTTAGCGACGAGGCCGATCTCGCTGTCGCTCGAGCCATGACGGCGAGGTCGAACCTCGCCAGATCTAGCGAGGCTCGACCTCGCCGTCGCGACCTGTGGGCGACGGCGAGGTCGAGCTCGCTCAGATCCGGCGAGGCTCGACCTCGCCATCGTGACCCAGGCAACGACGAGGTCGGCCTCGTCGCTGCTGGCCGGGTCGGCCTCGCCTCAGCAGCGGTGAGGCACCTCGCCGGCCCTCCCCTCTGGCCGGCCGCCGGTCGCCAGACCGGCCAGAGGAATAAAAAAGAAAAAAAAACAGAAAAAAAGAAAAAAAAGATTAAAATTTTTAAAAAAATAATAAAAAATTGCCACGTCGCATTGGTCGGACGGCCGGCGGCCACGCCGCCGGACGGGACGGCCGGCGCGACCGGCGGCCACTGCCACGCTCGGCCGGCCAAAATTAGCCTAAGGACCGAATTGGCAAGAATTAGAAAGGTTTAGGACTGAATTGGCAAAATTAAAATGTTTAGGACTGAATTGGCCGCCGTACAATAGGTTTAGGACTGATTTGACAATTTTCCCGTAAAGTATCCTCCTCCAAAGGGAAAAAACAGACAACTTCCACACTTTAATCTTCCAAACATGAGAACCATCCTTAAAAGTGATACGTGGTGCGAGGAGCCAGCGTCCTTGTTGCATCTAACAAATCTGGCAATTGGACAGCACTTTTGAGTTTTGTTTACCAGCAAGTGAACCATGAAGTGTTCCAATGACAAAATAGATAAACGATAAGCTGTAATTTGAAACATTAAAGGGGGAAAAGTTACCTCAGATCTAGGCCTTCCTCCATTGTATTTGAGCATCAAGTTTAGAAGTTTTTATCAGTAACTTTTAAATTTACTTTCTGTTAGGGAGTGCTGTCACCGCTGCACATCTTACTGACGAATGAAATCAATCACACAACTTCAGCCTGCCCAAATATGCCAATAATCCCACTTCCTCAACGGGTTAGTCCCTCGGAAGGCTGCACAGGTTCATTAACTTTCCATGGTAATATCGACGGAATTGTTGAGAAGAGATGAGGAGCTTTTGCCTTCAATAACATCTTTCTCAAAACACACGCAGCAGCATCAT